AGAAGACAAATTTCTAGGCTGTCAGCCATTGTATCAGTAACTGTAACAAAAACACTGAATTGATAAAAAATGTATATTAATATTATTACTGATGTAAACGATGTAGTGCATTGACATTAAAGAATATTTATTATGCAGCAATTATAACAATATTTTAATTCAACTCAAATTCCATTGTATTATAAAGTTTAATTATAAAGTTTCACAAAAAAATCAAAAGAAATTTTTTCTTGTTAAATAATATGAATTGTTACATTAAAATGCAAATTTTGTTCAACAATATTTTTATAAATTATTAAAATTTTGATAACAAACGATATATTTTTACATAATGAAAACATCGATTGAATGTCAGCAAGTAATAGTTGATTTATAAATATTATTAACTGATCAACTACCATTTTAAACACGTGGGGAAGATAGGAGAAAACTTTTGCATTACTTATAGTATTCACAGGCCACCTGTGGTGCGTTTGGTTCAGGTAGACGCATACACTATATAACAAGTCTTTCCCGCTCAATTTTCGCTATTTTGGCTTGGCTTAGCTTGGCTTGGGTAGTCTAACTGCCATACAACGAAATTTTACAAACCATACAAATTATCTACAATATAAAGGCTGCGTAGAAAAATATTTTTTAATGGTAATTTAATGGAATATAACGTTAGTTCAGCGATCAGCTCCAAAAATTTTTTATATATATAAATTTATTTCGAAAATTCCGGCTCGGATTCAATTTATAACAATTTATATACTCATTTTGAAAAGACAGTAAAAGATTATGTACTTACCATTCACGTAGAATCAAAACCGTATAATAATTGATACAGCCAAAACTTCAGAATGATTTGAAACTAAATTTAGGACGCCGTCGCTATATAGTGGCGTCGTATTCGGAACAACTCGGAGAGAAATTTCTCGAAGACCACTGTCTCTCCCAAAAGCCGAAACTCGAATGACCTTCTGTAGGCGAACATCTGGCAAGGCCCATAGAGACTATACTACGTAGGTATACTCTCAATGCTATAGCCCCATAAAATTCTATAATCCGTTGCACCTGGCAAACTAACACGGCATTTTTCTCCCTAACGAAACACAGCTCTTGAATGCTGTCTTGAGTTGATATTTGAAACTAATAATAGTAACTTCGCATTACTTCTTAGTTATTAATTTTATAATGACATAACTTGGTAGTTAATGTTTTATCACATTATGAACTACTGTACACCATGCAAAATTCAATTAGATTTCAACAGTATTTGCACTAAAAATCACTATTTCGGCGTGATTGTGTGAGATGAGCAAGCCTTGACCTCGACATTATAGAATATTCACATATCATCAATTTATGTAACAAACTAATATCATTGTTAAAGATTGGAAACATCATTAAATTATAGTGACAATCTTAGCGCGTTAATGAATGAAAATAGAGTAACAGTAGTTTCATATTAATGTTCCTCGCAATTTGCTATGTCGTTTAAAAAAAAATCATCAGAATTGGACGATTAGAAGCAAAGTTAAGTAAAGGTAAAGAGCGCGCAGCGAATTTGAACTCGACGATTCGACTTTTTCATTTGCGTTCGGAGCGCGCTGAGTCATCCCCTCCCCACCAACTTTCCCGCTGAAGCGCCGTTTTCACGCGCGCCGACTCTATTTTGTCAATTAATAACGCTTCAACAATAAAAGATGACGTATTTTAATGAACTTGCAAGGAAAGATCTTGGAATAACCTAAAAGTCGGTATTTTTTTTCGCGATATTGTTGCTCAATATCCTTGCAAAGGCAGCTGACTTTGCAATTTAATAACTCTAGTTTGAATGTACAAAATTCAACGTTTGAAGCATGAAAAGATAGATTTTTCTGAGTACTTTAAGTAGGTTTTCTCAGATTTCAATTATCATGAAAATTCGTAGAAATATTCAATTTGTTATTAAGGTCAAAATCGCCTTTTTTTTCAAAAAATTCTAAAAGTATGTTAAAAATAAAAAAATATATACAAAATTATGAGACGTCGTAGTTTAAAGCTTGCAAATTATGTAAAAAAATCGTGGCATACGTAAAAAATTTTTGTCTGACTTTACATGACTTCAAAGTGGGTGTAGCTTATTTGCATTATCTTAATTAACATTACAATAACTTAGCAACTAAAACAGGTATCGAGATCGGGTTTACTGCAATCAATTTGTAAAAGATTAAAGTTTCCAGAGAATTGTTCACGAATAAGATACATTAATACTGTCAATTGCAATTTGTTGTGCAAAAGAGGCATGTTTTTCAGCTTTTTTATTTATGTATTCTAATGCTGCCGACGCGGAAAATTGAATTTTTCAACTTTGAACCACGGTATTCGATAGTAAATTGTGCGTTCTACAACTTTGTTCCTGTGCATATATGCCGTTTAATTGATAGTTAACGAGTTAAATCACTCAATGTGTCCAAAAAATCCCCTATTTTCGAGTATTTTAGCTATAAACATTTATGTTGCTAAACCCACTAGGAAATTCGCGGCGGAGTTTGTTCCATCCCATTACTACTATATTTTGGCCCCTATCTAAAGAAAAAATAAGGATGTCGCTCTCACATCCACCTCGAAGGTTAATTCGACTGGACTAATAGAACTACACATTAGCTAAGGTTCTTGAAATATCTTACCCTATAAGTGCAAAATTTACGATTTATAGACTATGTTCGAGGTTATTTAACACTGTGAATAAATTTAGTTTTCCAAAATCCAGTGAATTCGTCACAAAGCAAAACTCTTGCTCTTAAAATCTCATTTTTGAATTACAGATATCTATTTTTCATCGAGATATCATTAAATTGATTTTAAGTATTCGGTTAAACAATTTCGCAACAGGGATCTGGGATTATATGGTTGTAGATTACATGAGTTAAGAGTTAAGACAATTGGGGTTCAAGAACCGGAGTTTATTTGGTCACGGATTACAGGATTCAGGGGTTGGGTTAACGCAATTGGAATTCAAACATTAAAGTACTTAACTTCAAACAATATGATGAAAAAAAAGATAAATTTGATCCAAGGTAATTTGATCTAATATCTCTAAAAATGGGTTTTAATGGATAAGAATGCTGTTTGGTCATAACTCTATTTGTTTTTAGAAAAAAACAAATTTATTCACGGTGTTATACCTCAAACGTAACAAAATATCTCAAAATATTGCAATTTTTGCACTTTTAGGTTAGGATATCTCAAGAATCTCAGATCATGGATCAATTCTAAAGCCAGACTCCGATTCAAAGCTTTTAAAACTTACGAAAATATACTATCACGTTTTTAGGTTTTTCCATTTTAAAATATCGGCCTATGTTACTAAAATCATAAAAAGTTAATTATATTACTTATAAAATTTATCATTGATTTTGAATCTTGACTATGACCTTACAATAGTGAACACGTATACTTATTTGCGGTACTTATTTACGTGCACTATAATGCTATATATATTTTTATTCAAGTGAAATAGTTTGTGATAACGATAGTATATACTACAAATGAAGAGATCGATTAATCTCTTTGGGATTCCCTGAGCAACTAAGAGGGTACACAAAAAACCGAAAATTTTTTAATTATTTTATTCAATTAGTGATGTAATTGTTTCAAATCATATTGTAAAATATAATTACTTGATAAATCGTAATTTTCAAATTGAAATAATTTAAAAATGCTACTTTCTATGTAAATAATTAAACAAATTACAAATTGATATTGATAAAATTATTTACTGTAACATTCAAATACTCAAAGTACTTTTATTTTATATTTATCACAAATTCAAGCACAATTTAGAGAGCACATTGTATGGTATCATCTACAACAAACTTTGTTAATGGTGTATTATTGGCAAATTTATTTGTGACAAGAAATTTGATAAAACGGACAGTTGAGCAATATTATCAGTTAGGAGTGAAAATTTAGACAATTTCAACTATATTAGCATATTATGCAATGTGAACAACAAATATATTATAATTAAAAATTATCATAAAAATTGTTTAGCATACAGCCATATGACTGAGAATTTATTGTATAATAATTTTTTTAATCTAAGATATATCTATAATGCACGAAGCAGTAGACCTCTAAAAGTTAGTTCTATATATATTATTAACAAACTTTCAATGAAGCTTAAGAGATACAGACTATTTAAACATCTACTTACAAAGTAATCTCCATTGAATTAGTGAATTATAATTGTAATTTGGTAAATCAAATAATATTAGAATTATAGTCTTTTTCAAATATATGAAAATATAATTATCAGGTAAGAATATTTGTAATTAATAAAATTAATATGACTATGTTTTGAAAGAATTATAAAAAATATAGAATAATACCCTACTTTCATAACCTTAAAAATATTGTCATAAGTCACATATTATGGCTTGTTGCGATTTGTAATATTTTAGATGAACAACTACGGTTAAAATATATTTAAGAATAATATATCTAATTCAATATAAAATATCCTAAATCATTTTAAAAATGATTATCTTGATACAGATATGAATTATTATATGAACCAACTCCATTACTAAACTATCTTGTATAAAATTATTTTTTCTCTTACAACTATTTATTATTATCAATTAAATATAAGTAAATTTACCTTTTTAAATCTAAGAAATATCAATGAAATTTATTTTATATGCAAGTAAACTTTTTTATAAGAATATATATATTATATGTATCTAGTAATTACATTGTACTTAACTATTAAACAGCTAAATAAAGTAAAATAAAAAAATTCCATATTACAGACAAAAACTAAACAGCATACAACTATGAATATACATAATAACTTTAAATTACAATTAATCTCTTAACTACTTGTTCCACTTTTAATCTACAAATGTAATTATATTGATTAAAAATGGCTATAAATTAATAATTATTATTTTTACCATTAGTGCCATTATCATTATTCAGTTAAAAAAATTAATAAATTTAAATAGTATAAAAAATGGACTATAAATTACCTTTCAAATGTTATAACCTGTTGTTGATTAATCAAACACAACACAAATTCGTTGAACTTCCAGATTAAATGTGTAGGTATATGTATGTGAATGTATATATAAACGTATATATATGTAAATACATATATATATACATGTATATAACGAGATAATTGAAAACAGAGAGGTATATGTATTTACACAAGTTTCAATAAGCTTTAAATTAGTAATGAATAACTTTCATACAGATAAAAGTCTTAAAATTTATAAATACTCTAACTAAATTATTATTAACTGTTGAAATGGCGACTAAAAACAGTGTTCCAAATTCTAATACTCTGCCACGTATAGAATAGAATAGAATTAGAGTAAAAACTAGGGTATAGCGTAGAAATTATAGACTATCAATATAGTTTACTGTTAAGGCCGATACAGATTACTGAAAAGTATTTTATATTTCCATAATTGCTTATAAATTAAAAAGTGAATGTTTCAAGGTCTGACTGGCAAGCGTCTATAATTATCTTTTCAATATAATAAAAAAAGTAAATAAACCGTTAGATAGTTCGTTAAATGGAAAATAAAATTCATGTTGATTATTATTTGTTCATTATTTAAGTGACCTCTGAAAAATATAAAATAAAATAGATTCACAACCTCAATGCCTAAACCTATTTTATTTTATAAACGTCGTGAAAACGATTACAAAATCAACTAAAAAAAATTATTCGTAACGTTATCGTTAGTTTCTATCACAATAAACATAATTATGTTCGCTAGCAAATTGCTAACCAAAACAGCATGAAATTTCATGTTAATATTTGTTCGTTCATTGTAACTGACCTCTGAAAAAAAAACTAAAATAGATTCCAAGCCTGAAGACCAAACCTATGTTATTTTATTGACATTCTAAAAATGATTAGACGATCAGTTGACAAACAAACAACAAATTTTAATGAAACGTTTGATGAAAAATATAACGCTGTACGTTATAAGACTGTTATATCTAGGCGAGGAGATGTTACGGCTAGACGTAATAATATTTAAAATACTGTCGCGTTGGTAAAAGTTGAATCTTAGTCAGAAGTTAAGCAGAGGTTGGTTAAAGGGATAACTTACTTTCTTACCTTGTTAGGATTGGATTTCAGAAGAGGTTTCTACAAACAGTGTCAGGTGTTTGCGCTTGATTTAAGATTTATTGTTCAAAGGCAAGTTTATAATGCTTAGCAGAGTATAACTCCGGTTCTGAGTAGCCGGATAGCGAGACTTAGAAATAACTAAATCAGTATAAGTACGAGTACTAGGGTATGAGTGCTAATATAAGCACTAATGTAAACTGTAATATGAACTGCGCGAACTGTGTATTGTGTGAACTGAACTGCTTTGCGCGGATCTCGATCCAGCCTTTTTATACCATAGGCTGATGTGCCCCTTCCTGTGTTTTCGCCGAATTAATATGCAGTGAGTAATATTCGCGGAAATATTATGGAGAACGTGCTTAGAGTAATCTATCCCGCTAGATAGATTAACACAAAGTAATTTTACACATATATATGTTTAAAAGAGAAACACTTCGAAGCACTACTTAACCCTTTTCCTCCCAAATAACACAAATTTTTTCTTAACTTTCATCCTCATATCTTTTAATGAAAAAATCGTATGAAAAATTTATCAAGCATCATATCTTGTAGATTTTGACCTCCTCTTTCGAATGCCGTTGACAAAATTTACCTAAATTGTAAGACAGAAATGTTATAGGCCGGTTTTCCGGAAAATTCACAAATTTTTCGCGTTTTTTTTTCTAAAAAAAGTATATTTTGAAATGGAAAAACTTTGCCCACACCATTGAAAACACTGTTATCGGTGTTATAAATGTCTTTTCTTTCAAATGCCGTTGGATTTTTTCCGAAATTCAAAATGGCGAACACAAAATAGCGTTCGAAAGGAAAAATTTTTTTTTTAAACTTGACGAATTTTTTCCTCCAAAACTATCAAGTTTAGTGAAAAATTTCTAAGAACAAAAATGTCTTAAAATTAGTAGTTAGAATTTGGAAATTTCGATTTTCTGATTTTCCACGAATTCGAAAATTAACTCAGAAAATTCTGAAAAAAATTGAGAGTACTCCTTGGTAAATTTTAAGACTCTTTTGTTATTATGAATTTTTTTATTGAGGCAATAGTTTTGGAGTAAAAAATTAATCAATTTTATTCCTAGTATACATTTTTTTCAAATTGGTTTCACAAAATTTAAAAAAATTTCAAGTCTAACAATTATTTTTTTTTGCTACCCTCGCTAAAAGTCGATTTTCCTGATCGCGACGCGATAGGACTTTAGGCGAGAGAGTTAATTTTCGAATTCGTGGAAAATCGGAAAATCGAAATTTCCAAATTCGCTGTAAAAAAATCTGAAAAAATTTGAGAGTATTTCTTGACTAATTTTAAGACATTTTTGTTCTTAGAAATTTTTCACTAAACTTGATAGTTTTGGAGGAAAAAATTCGTCAAGTTTAAAAAAAAAATTTTTCCTTTCGAACGCTATTTTGTGTTCGCCATTTTGAATTTCGGAAAAAATCCAACGGCATTTGAAAGAAATGACATTTATAACACCGATAACAGTGTTTTCAATGGTGTGTGCAAAGTTTTTCCATTTCAAAATATACTTTTTTTAGAAAAAAAAACGCGAAAAATTTGTGAATTATCCGGAAAACCAGCCTAAATTTTGTCAACGGCATTCGAAAGAGGAGGTCAAAATCTACAAGATATGATGCTTGATAAATTTTTCATACGATTTTTTCATTAAAAGATATGAGGATGAAAGTTAAGAAAAAATTTGTGTTATTTGGGAGGAAAAGGGTTAACACAAAGACTCTAATTTTCAAAAGGCAAGAAACCACCACTCCACACTACATTTAATCTTCTTAAAAATATTTCTTCTCCTATGGTGCCAGGTTTACATATACGGCACTTTTCTCCAGGTTGAAGGGCATTCTGATGAGCAGTTGACTAGCACTCCCAACAGATGAGGAAAATATTCTTTGGTCCGTGGCTTAAGTATTTTAAAATGCATAACTTACAAAAACGCCACACAGATAGAGGCCAAGAGCATTGCACATAGTTATCGAAAGTTAATAGATCCGCAAAACTTCTACCTCCATAAGGTAAATGCACAAATTCGGCGTACGTTCTTCCGCGTTCGATCCTTTCTCCATAAAAATATGCAACTAGATAGTCTATCCAGACTTGCAATTCTTCTCTGCTACATTCATCAGGTGGTCGAAGAACATACTCTACATACTGTAATTGATCATTCTCATACCTTAACTGCCACCTTTTCGTAATGATTTGAAGCTGCTCATTTGTTACATTTGGTCCGGGTACTATCGGTAAGATTAGGTCGTATCCCATCATACGAGCGCAATCCTCCGATGCCTTTCGGTAGTCCTCGCAACGCTTATAACAAATCTGGCCTAAGACTTGTGCTTGATTTGTAGGGTTACCCGCTCTGGATGGTCGCCCCATTTACACTACTTCACTGTTCAACCACAAGACGATTCCTTGTTGATACATTTCCGGTGAAACCACGTTGTTGTACGGTTCCGGACTGTTGAACAAATTCAAAGGATCACTTATCACTCCTTCTTCAGTGATCACAAATCCGTGATTTTCTCCATAAGCCCCTTCCAACTTTTGCAGGACCTTGCTCACGAACATTTTACACTATCACTTATAGAGGCACAGACACAAAACTAGTTGACACGATGCTGTCTTACAGGCAACTAAGTCCCTTTTATTTTGTTCTACCTTTCAAACCGGGAGCTCAATCACTAATCTAGCTATAAAACTCTAATTTTATTTCTCTCCTACTGTTAGATACTACTTAATTTATTCGAACACCAGGTTTCAAATATAGTGTATTCTTTGTCAACTGTTTTTGGAGGAGCCTTGCCGGGAAATTGCAGTATAAATTCACTCTAATAATAATTTATTTATTTATTTCTATTTTTATATAAAAATAGCCCCAAAAAAAAAATTTATTCACTAAGATTTTGCCAATAGCTACTGTTTTCTGAATATAATTGGTCTACTTGCCTACTCCACACCTGAATTAATTCACTACCTCCTTGATGGAACCGGCACCTTTCGTCATCATTTTCTAATGACTTCCGATGTTCTGCAAAAGGGCACTCCAAAATTTGCACCAACACGTCCTTACACTATTTGCTTAAATGTAACGTCGTGCAGTAACGACAATTACGTACTGCTAATAACGGTACTTGACACACTGCAGAATATTCAAACGTAAGTCGGTTATCTGTATTAAGACTACCATAATCTATCTTAAACAGATGCTGAATGAAGATATCAGTACTTTCACTCACGGTTTAAGATAGCAAATTTTGGCTCCTGAATAAACTATCCTTTGGTACTGTAGTGTCACGTCGATACAAAAAAAAGTACGTGACGAATTATGATAAGTAAATAACGGGTTATGGTAACAAACCGGGTATCGGTAATTAAATTTCCTATCGTATCAACCCTTCCGGGAACATTTGTAAATCTATCTAGCAGGATAGATTAGTCTAAGCACGTTCTCCATAATATTTTCGCGAATATATTACTCACCGCATATTAATTCAGCGAAAACACAGGAAGGGGCACATCAGCCTATGGTATAAAAAGGCTGGATCGGGATCCGCAAAAGGCAGTTCAGAGCAGTTCAGTTCGCACAGTATACGTTTTGCGCAGTACTAATTAAGTTATTTTTAAGTCTCGCTATCCGGCTACTCAGAACCGGAATTAAACTCTGCTAAGCATTATAAAAATTGTCTTTAAACAATAAATCTTAAATCAAGCACAAACACCTGAGACTGTTTGTAAAAACCTCTTCTGAAATCCAATCCTAACAAGGTAAAAAACTAAGTTATCTACTGAAACACGCTACATATAATAAAGGCGCTATCCTTTTAACCAACCTCTGCTTAACTCCTGACTAAGATCCAACTTTTAACAACGCGACAGTATTTTATACATTATTACGTCTAGTAGTAACATCTCCTCGCTTAGACATAACAGTAGGATATTCAGGATATTGAAACATCTTATTATTGTTTCTTAATGTAAAACGTTTGTCTCTGGCTTGTTGTTGTGCCACTGTGAGTCCTGGTATTACTGGACCTAGCAGTGAGTATCCCATCTTTGTTATACTTTCCTTGCATATTTCTTGAAATTCTGATGAGTTATTATATAGTATTTCCTCGATTAATTTAGACGTGTTGGTTGGCTGGAAAGTTTACACTTTGTATCCGTATTCACTTGTTGTTTTGTTCAACCAGCGGCAAGTTCCCCAGCGATAAATATGGATCGGTTCGGGTGTCCTACAGTAGATTTCACTCGTTTCAATCAGTCCTTAGG